TACTATTCCCCGATAGATGGCGTTACCCTTACCTTGAGTGATGTTATAAGGCTGACATCTGTTATAGAAAACTTGCCAGTATTCATACCTAGTAATTGTATAATGGTTTTAATTCGATTGAGTAATTCGACATATATAGGGGTTTAAATGTAAAAAAAAAAAATTTTAGGCGGATATTGATGACGAAACTTCGGTAAAAAGACTTTCTTACGACAATTTCTAATATATTTTTTTTTCTAATAATTTTTTTTCTCTTATCACTGTGTAGTAACTAGCCGTCTTCGCTACATTATCCGTTTGACCCGAATAAAAAGAAACCTGTGTCCTTCTCCACGCCATATACTACGTGTATGTCATATTCCATGATTTGTTAAGCCGTTAAGGCGGTAAGAGGAAACGAACAAACTCACTTTCACATTTATAATATTAGTAAGGATAGCCAATACAATGTTTGATTTCATATCGCCGAGCGCTTTTGAATATAAATTCTTAGTATAAATAACACGATAAAGCAAGTATTACAATTAACTTATAAAGCTACTTGGAATAACTTTAATTAGAGAACATAAATAGTATCGGAGGTAAAATAAGTAAAGGTATCATAAAGACTGAAGAGACTTTATATTCTTCGCGAGACAAAACAGCTTTTTCCTTGCAGTAAATCCGAAGAGTGGGAAACAATGGTGCTCATAATAAAGCTATCGAATTAAGCCGGTAAGCTCTTGAATATTTATATCTTGGACTTGTTGGGAATAACAATTTTATAGTATTTATATGATGGCCAACAGGTGAGTATAAACCCAAAAAGTGTATTAAGATAACAATTATATACCATTGCGTCAGATCTATATTAAAATAATATAATAAACGTACATATGTGTTAATGTTCCAATTATAAACACTGAATTTTTTAACATTTAATCCATCCTGCCTACCATTTACATATTAATGAATTTAAGTAAGTTTATACTTTGGTATAGTAACAAAAATTATAGCAATTTGGACCTGAATTTATTCAGGAAGGTATAAATATTAAGAAATCGCCAGAACAAGTATGGAAGATAGGAAAAAAAACACTGATAACGCAGTTTTATAAATATGCATACATACGACTTTGTATGTATGTATGTTCATAAAATCATGATGATCTTAAAATTATATAATTAATAGTTGTATACAACTGCATTGTCCACATCAATTACAATGAGAATAAGTTAAAAAAAAATAATAAAAAAAAAAGTTTTCATATTGAATACAGCGTCATATCATTGCCATTTTTTTTTTATTATAGCCAGTGACACTAGGAATGCTATGAGGATTCTAATGATATCCCATACATCCAAATCTGCTCAGGCATTTAGAAGCTATGGTGGAAATGAAGACACATATATGAGCCCTGAAAATATTACACTCTGTACAGTAGATAGGTGGATTACATCAGATAAACTAGTAAAGATAACAAGTTAGAAGCAAGCAATTTCGAATAGATAGAACAGACAAAACATTTCAAAAAGTAACGCTTTGGGTAAAATCCGATATTCGTATAGACAGATCTGTTAGATTTCTGACAAATCAACGTGTATTCGCTAGCAGGACGGAAATGGAACTATCAGTTTTCAAATAGTTAAACGAATGGCCGCGTAGGCCGCGAGCTCCTGTCACTTGCAACATGCCCGTATCTGTCATGTAGACTATTTATTAGTGAAATACTCTTTACAGAATATGTACCTAGACGTAAATTAATTTCCAGATGAAAATCAGTGACAACAGAAAATTTTTGTTTGCCCATTTTAGGACCCAAACATAACACTAGATAAACATCTATCATCATCTGTCATAATATGTTTTCAAATCTGTTTGACATGATATATTTATTCATGATTCTATCTGAATTATGAGTAATTCATAAGGTGATCAGAATGTGATCATCTATTTATCTATTAGAATTTTCATCATGCCTCCAATCAAATTGTTTATACTCCTCTCCATCCAAAGGTTGCCTGGAAGAGATCGCTTTTAGCGAAAAGGTCGCCCATTGTTTTCTCATTGTGATTATTTCTAATAACTATTTATATTTATAATAATTTTATTACTGTAATCTTTTGTAGAAAACAAATAAAGAGTATCTATCTATCTATTATCAAGATTAATCTAAAAAGTCATCAAGATCGATCTAAAAAGTCCAAATGATAATTCCAAGACAAACATCATTACTAATAATGTACTACAAATAAAGAATCAAATCATAGTAAATATTGATACAACAGCTACATTAATTTAAAGTTAGTATCCAAGTTTTGAACAAAATAATAAAAGTAAAATAGCAGCTCGTGAAAATCATATAATACATATTCACGAGAATAAATAAAACCACGACCTAGAATTCAAAAAATAATTTGAAATATAGTGTGCTGTAATGGAGCTTAAATGTTTTTTATTTCGCTAGGAGTATGAGCAAACCACCACTAAAAGTCATATATTGTGGATATACAGCATTTTTGTTGTTTTTACAGCGCCGTTACTCGCGACTCGTTATCGTGTGGTTTTAATCTGAACTGTGCTTTTATTTTGCATCGAAGCGAGTTTCTTTTCGTACCTACTAGTTAGGGTTGCCGCTAGGTGAATAGAAATAATTAAAAAGAAAAATATATTGTTGTTCATGAAGGAATAAAATCTGTTAAATTTACTAATTATACACATGATAATAAAATACTCATGTAATTAATGATTTCAGATTCCAAAATAATAAAATGTAAATAATAATAAACTTTATGTAAATAAATCATGCAATTTGGAAATAATACATTCAAAATGTAATAACCTGTATATTTTAATTTTTTCTTAATCATCCTGACTTTTCTGTTTTCTTAATATATTATTTTCGTACTTAAAATCTTGTTGCTAACTGATTAAAAACAATATATAATGTATTTTATTAGTAGGTAGGTTAATTAATTAACATATCTATACAATTTGTCAGACTTATCAAATAAATCAATACTTATGGTAGCCAACTGGTTTGAGGTAGCGAACTATCACGTTTCATGCTGGTCTTTAACAAAACAACCTTCCTATACGGAAGTAAAATTATGATAGTTTTGCAAACTTGTCTATACTGCGGAGAACAAGTTTTAAATCCCAGAATTTTTGTTTAAAATATGTATAAAATAAAAACAGATTAAGTAAATAAAAAAACTAATTTTTACATAAAATATCATTTGGTTGCTTCTCGGACACCGTCCAAATTAGGACAAGTCCGGGGAGACCCGGACGAATGGAAACCCTAGTTAGGTCAAGGTTCTGATTAATGTAATGTAATGGACATTATACTACTAGCTATGTGAGTAAATTCTAAGTTGCATTGCGTGATATCATCTGTAATAAGGATATCCACAGCACTAAAACTACCAAGTATAACAAGCAGTGAATTGAGGCTCTCGAGGGACGATCTCATATACACAAACACAGCATAGAACGATCGCTAACTAAATGTAGCGAGGATAAACGTGTATTAGAAAGTTAGTAGATTCAGACAGCACAGGACTCCCTGCACTGCCGAAGTCGTCTGTGGGGCAGACCAAGTCCATCAGTGGACTGGCTGAAATAGTGATCTCATTCCTTCACAGGGCGTGAAGTCATGCATAGAAAACTGTTTAAAAGGTAAGACTTTACGGCGAAATTACAAGATATGGAGATCACAGTTTATATTGTGTCTATAGGCGGTTGTTACCACTTTCCATCAGGTACACCGTCGCTTGTTGTTGTTGTTCGCAACTCTAAGTTATATAAAAAAAACTATCTTCAAGATTCGTAGTTGACAGCGAACAATATCTAGAACTTCCCTCGTTTCACATAATGGAAGATAAAGGTGATATATAAAGCTCGCCATAGCCGCTGGTTTACTGGTTTCACTTAAATAACTTAGCACAAATATACATACTCGTAAACCAGTGCCCGAGGGACGTGCGGAAACTAGATCGTCTAAGTGACGCGAACCCCAGTACAGTCAAGAGTAATATACGTAAACAATTCAGTAACTAGTTACAACTTTTAACATTATTTGGGAATTTTTAAGTTACAGACATAAAACACACTTGACGGTACACGCTTTACTGATATCCCCACAGGAATAAAAAAAGTGTATATAATTTATAAAATACTGGTAGACTTTTTTAACTTACATGCCTCCTATTCTATATTACATAAAGAAATATTGTTAGCCTCAATATATTAGATATTTATTTTAAAACTACTTCACTTTTTGGATTCATAGTATTTGGAATTCATAAATTGAGAATTGAAATGTTTTTTAAGTCTCTTTTAAAATTTTGTTCGTGTCAGTCAGAAATATTGACGATTAATCGTGTAAGTACGCGAATTGAATAAGCACATGCGGAGTGTTTCGTAAATTATGTTCAAGTATCAACATCGTTTAGCATATAGATATCCGGTTCAGTCTGGTTTGGTCTACTATTATTCAGTTAACTTGGAGGAGGCGGCGCACGCGCAAATATTCGTTGCGAACACTTGTTTCAAGTGTGCATGCAGCCGGCTTCGTGCACGCGTGTGTGTGTCACGCCAAGTGCACAACACATGTGCTGTTATTGTATTTTATTGGCGATTTGGAATATTTTATTCGCGTCGCCGACAGGTGGCGTTGTCAGACGATGTGCGTGATACTTTTTATTAATCACAAGTAACCATACGGTCTGCCAGGCAGTGAGCGGTTACTTTAGCCTGCCTAAACAGTAAGTAATACGTTTTCAAAAGAATTCCTAACTGTGTTAGCAGTTGTTATAATAACCAGAATTTATAAACAAATCTTGGAAATAAAATGACCGTTTTGCAACTACTATAAACAGCGCTTTTTCAGTTAAGAACATAAATTCTCTGCATAATAAATAATATTTATATGGTAAATATCAATTGAAAATTGGTGATCAGAGACTTTAAGTAGTAATAATAATAAAGTTAATTTAGAGTCATGCGAAATCACTTACCAGGTTTCGGAAGGGGTGTTTTGAGATCGTTGGTCATGAGTTGTGGATTTTCTTGCACCTGAGAAGGAAAAATATTACATTAAATTACATAGCTAACTATATTGTTTAGTTCGATTCTCTATTAAGTGAATTATATTGACTAAATTGATATCTATCGTAACGTAGCTTATTTACGAATAGTTAACAATATGCGATCATTTTTACCATTCTATATAATTAAAGTAGTCATTCAATAATAAAAATTTTTTCCGCTCTTTCTTTCTATATATCGCCTTTTCTGGTATTGTATTTAGTAGTAAGAGAAAGAGTAGGGTATCTCTTATATGATCTGAGAATTATGACAGCCTGCACTAATTCTCAGACAGATTAAACAGGCGACGAAATAACTCAGAACAAAATTAATAATACACAGCCAGACTAGACTTAATAAATAATATATTATACTGAATATAATAATATGTAACAATCTTCGAAACGTGCTAGAAATGCCACTTTACTAGTCCTAAGTATGAGTTTCATACGATCAATTATAACTTTTCTAAAAGGACCCAAAAATTTGGGTCGCAAATAATAGTTGTATGGTTTCTCGAACACAGTATTTCTGTTATCGTAGTTCAAGATATCTCGGTCAGTGTAATTTTTACTAGTTAATTAGTTTAGCTATTAGTATTAGCAATATCCCGTGGCTTTATCTACGTAAATTAGGATAAAAAACGGCCCTAAGTGTTAATTCAGTCTAATCGTTCTATATGTATTGAATTTCATTAAAATACGTTGGCTCGTTTATATTCAAGTAAAATCCTAAAAGATGTATTATTTATAACCTTTCCTATTTATTTGATTATTGCATTAAAACATGGATTTACATTCAAATACGGTTTATAAATTAAAAATGCAACAAGCTTAATATTACTACTCAATTTAAGTTATATTTAATAGTAGTATTTAATATAAACACAATCATTTGAATTGTACTATTAGTTAAAATAAAAATACTACAAAATTTGGACGTTATATCAATGAATATAATTGAAGATTGTGTTTAAAAAAAAACCACCATTTATTTTGTTTTAAAAACTAAACTAGTGAACAGATTTTGATAAAATTTATTTTAAATAACAATATAACCGAATTGAGAACCTTCTTCTATTTTGAAGTCGGTTGAAAATACGGAGATTTTTCAATACGCCAGCTGTAACATTTGATATATTGATCTTCCGTCGGCAGCGGCGCTTTGTCCATTAATTTCACCGTATAGATTTAGTTTTACTAAAGAGATCCAATATTTGATTGATGGTGCTGCGTCAATTGTTTTGATGGAAAACCAATTCAAGTACACTTCGCAATCGTATAGCATTATAGGTCTGTTTCCATCGAACTTAAAAGGTAATGAACTATGTTTTGCTGGAATACTCACAGAAACATTTTCTACGATGACATTAGCATTATTTATTTATTATTATTATATACAATAATACCAATAAATACCAATACATGGGTACAATGGGTACAAACACCAGTACATTGCCACCCCGCACTAGGTGAAACTATATTCATAGATATTTATTATATTTCAATTTATCTTACCTTATTAGTGTAAGGGTTGAAGATGAACTTATTATCCGACTCTTTGCGTGGCGTCGCCGCTATCACTGATAAAGGCGTCGGTAGAGATTTCATCTCCTGCAAAGAGAAAAGTCATAAACCGTTAGCCTGGGGAAAATTGAGAATACGTTTAATCTTTGCAAAATAACTTTTATTATACAACAGTTTTTAACAACGTGATCATTATCATCCATTTAACGAAGTTTTCTATTAATGGAACTGAATTATTTAATTTTACTATTGTTATTCTTGACACCTGACGGAGTTATGAGGTAGCAAACATAAAAAAAAAAATCAAATTTTTAACCAACTTAAAAATAGATGTATTTGCATGCTTAATATTTATCTATTTAAACTTTAATGTACAGTGACATTATGTACATAAGGCGGGATTTAACACCGTACAGTGTTCTCTACTAGTCAACTATTGGGCAAACCGAGAAAGTAGGCTAATAGTAGTAAATTTTCGTTATATATAGAAGTTACTTATTTAATAAGAAGTCTGTGATCACCCTATTAGCCTATCACCAAAACAAAGTGTTCCATTCTATTTTAAAATACCAAACGAACTGAGAGCTACCTTCTTTTAGTTATCATTTAAAAATGGACACGTAACCCGATACAAATATTTCATACACGATCGAGGTGAACTTGTCCAGATTTATGGCGCACCCGTAATCGGAACAAATATCATTGTTAGGTGAAAAATAAAATAATTCGATGTGGCCAAGCCGTTTTGGTGTCGACTGAAACCAATCTCGGATCTCATCATATTGGATTACATAGAATGAATGAATTGCGGATCCGTAAAGCCTGATTTCACCCGAGTACCGCAGCCCAGAAAATAACTCTTTTATTCGTTTTCGGCTGTATAATATCGGTTGCACGAAAACATCACAGATAACAAAAATCCGTCTCTATGGGTGCCTCTGTCCCATTTGTGTTTCTCTCGTGATTGTTGTACTTGCATGGCTGTCTTTCGGTTTGAAGCGTGGGGGTATGGCGTGAAATCACAGGATATGGAATTATAACATCTTAGACATAGAAAAACGGAACGTAAGGACGACACCATGGATTTGACACTGCAGTGTGTAATATTCATGTTAATAGGTGACGAATATCACTTTTGATCAATGTTCGTCGTTTCATGTTGGACGATATGTATAATGTAGTGTAGTGTATTGTCTTGTAATGTAGTGTATTGTCTTGTAATGTAGTGTATTGTATCGTATTGTAGTGTATTGTATTGTAATGTAGTGTATTGTAATGTAGTATACTGTAATTTAGTACAATTATATAATTTACATACCTTTAAAATGCTTTCTATAGGCGGTTGACTGCTATCCAGTTGGTTCTGCGGACAAAACGAAATAGTCAATTAGAATATATATTAATTTTTAATGCAAACAGACAACGAACTTTCATATTTATAATATGTATTAGTAATAAAGATATTTTTACCACTTTTATTAAATAAAATATCGTTTCTTATCAATGAATTGCTATCAATACATATACTTACAGAAATAAATCAGTTAATTATTGTTTTATACACATATCAACAAATGTTATGTATACCGCCATTTGTATATAAATAAATTAATAAAAATAATAAGAAGTGCCGAAGCGAAGATACAATCAGTTTTAAAATTTAACATTACGTTTTATTGACCTTATATAAATGTTAAATTGACGAAAATTAACTGACCGTTAAAAGTTCGGCGTAAACTTAACGCCCTTTCGTGCTTTACGCCGTTTGTGTTTGATAAACCATCGCGACTGTTAGGCAATTCGTGCGTTAAAACTGAGCATAAGAATCTCTGATAAGAATCGCCTTATCTGATAACGAGTGTTTGTTTGTCAGAAGTGTGTAAATATAAATCAATGTTTACTTAATTCTGAAGAAAGACTATTTACCCTATCAAATATATATACAAGCTAATCTACACTTTTTTTTCATACATATTATAAATAAATGAAAAAAAAAAAAAAAAAAAAATATATATATATATATATATGTATATATATATATATATATATATATATATATATATATATAGTCTCATTTCGACGATATTTACTGTCATTACTTTGTAAGCTGTATTTTTTACAGACTATGTAGATTGTTTGCCGAAAAAATCATCATCACGTTGCGCAGTGATAAACAAACATTGTATATATGAGGTCCCGGATTCATATCCCAGTCCGGCCAATTTACGACACGATTTTAGGACCAATTTAGGACTATTGGCTCAGGTGTGGATATTCTGGATTGTGTTTCCAAATGTTCGTTTCTGAGTTCCTCATAACCCAAGGTATCCTAACTTGAGGACCAGGCAATTGATGCGATTGTATGGTGCTTATCAAATAGTGATATATACTTATTATTATTATCTTCGTTGAATATTTATCCAAGGATAAATAGTACCTACAGGCATTTAAATGTCAAATTTGTGATTTGCCAAATGGAGAGTAAAACTACTTTTACGAGATTACATTATGCCTTTTTAGCGAGTCGGACGATTAAATTTAGGGCCAGTTTACGGCCACCAATGTTTTATGATTTACGACTTTACGGCAATAAAAGTATAGTGTTATTGCTGATGGAATCGACTGTATTTTGCGTATTCGATTGTGCAAATGATGGTGCTGTCTTTATTGTTTGCAGTTGTTTAGAAAAAGACAAAACGTGACGTTTAGAGTCGAAAGCTGGCAGAACATTCAGAATACCAAAATGACCCCGATTTTTCTTGAGGGAATGGAATCATTTTATAGAGTCGCAAATAATGAAAAATATTTGGCGAAAAGAATGGAAATATATTATTTTACTAGTTATACATTTTCGTTTCGATTTGGTCTGCATGACTGGAATATATTGACTGACTTTTTTTACAACACAAGAGCAAACGAGCATGCGGCTCACTTGACGGTAAGAGACTACCGCTGCCCATGATTACCCGCAACATGAGAGGCATAGAACTAGTTTAAAAATACCTATATATTTCTCCATCTCAAATATTATTCTTTATTTCGTACACAAAATTTCAAAATAATTGGTTAAATTGTTAAACCGCAAAAGGTAAAAAAAAAAAAAAATACTTTTAAATTAAAATTTCTAATATTAGTACAACTAAAGATGTACTGAAAACAGCTAATGCAATGTCTCTGTCGTATCTCTCATTGGACCGTTTTGCATATAGATTTATGGCTTACATAGCATCCCACTTCCTTTTGGAAGCGCAGAAGGTATCGCTACAGGCTTCGCGAAAAAATGCTAATAACTTGCTGCTGGTAGACGGTATATGCATTTAAATAAAATGTAAAGTGAAAAAATGTAAAATAAAAATAAATAAGATAAAATAGGCCATGTAGTCCCGGCATAGAATAGGCCATCCCTGTCTTTCTCGTAGGTGTCGTAAGAGGCGACTAAGGAAAGAAGAGGGATGGGCAGCAGCGTCCCTCTTAAAAAATCTCTAAAGCCTAACTGCGGTTTGCTAATCTGCTTGCCAAGCGTGGCAACTACTGGCAAAGCACTCATGGAGGCTTATGTTATGTTATGATAAATACATATTAGCACTCGATTAACACCTTTAGTTACAAAATTTATCGTTTACAAAGGTCTAAATAAACTAGCAATTTGCTTTAAAGGACATGAAAAGAGAAGAAGAGCCGTAATAATGTAGGCAGTGCCCGCCTACTACTGATCCTGGTTTGTATTACACTACGTGGGCGCATTTAAACTTTGAAGTTCAACGTTCAGACATAATTTAGTTTATTTGTAACGACTGATCTTTCATCTAAAAATATCGGCATTATTGGACGATATAGGCCTATCTATAAATTTAAGTATTAAACTGATATTTTGAGGAAAGTGTTACGTTACTAAAAACCAAGCATTAAGTTTCAAATATTTTTAACTTAATTACATAAACGCGAAAATTTGTGAGAATTTCTAGATAAATATTTGTTATTCTCTTATGCAAAAATTCTTGAACGGATTTGAATGGAATTTGATACACATATAGGTTATATCATGACAGAGAGGACAATAATTTCACTGAAATATAAAATGAAATTTTAGTTTCAGAGTTAGATATAACCATTCTATTTTCATTTAATACACGAATTATATGGAATGATAAAGGATGATAAAAGAATGACAAAAACCATTCGAAATCTCGGGTAAAGGCTTATACAATATAATTTTATGGCGTGAGGTTTCGGCACAGAATGGAGCACCCGTTCTTTCTCATGGGTGTCTTAAGAGGGAACTAAAGGAATTCAGTTGTCGAGTAATGGGCAGAAGCGTCCCTCTTAAAAAGAGTGTGACAACTGCTGGCAAAGCCCCTCAAGGGAAAGTCTATGTTTAGTAGTGAATAGTTAACGGCTGATATAATGATGATGGTGATGGTGATGAAATTAATTATTAAAGTTTTGTACCCGCCCACATAAAGGTTCTCACGGGATACATTACCTGATTTTGAAAACCGTTTGGTATCCGGATAGGCGGCGGTCGATGCGCAGATGTTCCCGTTGAGCCAGTCGCCTCGCTCTGTTGGAGAAACCATACCATGAAATTATATACATCGTACTCTTGACTTTGACCCAATTCTATGGCGGGTCGGTGTTGCATTTTTTAATGGATGATAATGGAATGGCAGCTTCGCGTTCGTACTGCAATTTTTGCCCGCCAACCTCGTTTCAATATACTTTGTCAGGTCGACTTCCATACGGTTCCCTCTGAAAACATCGTGGTAGATTCTTGATTTCATCACAGTGGAATAATTGACCCGCTTTCATCCTCACCTATCATTTCTCACAGGTGTCCCGCCGGCGTGTACCGATAGCGCAGGCAAGGTTACCATTCCATTTTCACCCATTAAGACTGTATTCTGTAAAGTCCATGATCCTGATTGCCAATTTTGATCAGGTGATTTAAAATCTTAAATAAGTTATAAATCTTATAATATTTTAAACTTATTTCTTTTTACAGATTTTTGACTTGCAGATATGATAATTTTATTGTTTCAGACACAAGTAAGAGTCACTCAAAACTTAAGAGATGACAAATCACACGAAGTAATTTAAAAACCGGCTGCTTTTTAATTTTTCAATTACTGGCTTTATTTTTAAATTTCTAATAGAGATATATATTCTATGTATAGGTATTTATTCATTTTTGTCACATCACACATCCATGTCAGCATAAATTCATCGTAAAATCTTGTAAATAAAAAAACAGTAAAATAATTATTAGAGGAAGGGAATAAATAACACTGGGGAAAAGAAAGAAATGTGGTCAAGTTGTTATTTCTGCAATACAAAGAAAATAATTTAAGATTTCCCCTCGTAAAAAAGAAAGAGTTTCATTATTTTTGTTTGTATCTTACACAATATTTTCGCCAATTCTGAATCAATACCGATGATTCTTTGTTTTTTTTTTTTTTATTTAAAACCTTTACAATGCAAGTCCCTTGTTAATATAGTAAAAATTAGAGAAACTTTACGGAACACAATTTTAAATTATTATCAATATTTTGACATTCACAAAATGGAACTGTTAATTTTATAAAATGAATATTCAAGCGAAAAGTTTAAACCGCCATAGTAACTTAAACTAACATTAAACTTATTAGCTACCGTGCTTACCTACCTGCTTTTTAATTCTGCTAACTTTTAAAGCGCCGGCTCGCATGAATGAACCCAAGTCGGGCATAATATAAAAGCAACATATTCCTGCTTGTACAAACAGTACGTACCTACTTTATTTAGTTGGAATAATTAATTTTTTAACACGAGACTTTAAGAAACACAAGCTTAACTAACGTTAGAACAACAATTATAATTTGAAAATCTTCATTTATGCTGATATTCGAAAACGCGTGATCGATTTTATTTATTCAATCTTGACCACATTACAAAAAATGTGTTTGATACAAAAGGTGGTCTTAATGCTATGTAGTATGTATGAAATATGCTATGCTATGCTTTGTATGAAATATAGATATAAGTATAATACCTTAAGGTGGTCTTGAAAAGATTGTTCTCAGCAATAAGACGTTATATTTATTAATTGTTTTACTTATTCCCTATATTGTATACTGCAAATAAAGTATACTCATTCAAATATAATTATGCTTGACTGGATCAATTTGTATAATTTGAAATCAAATATTATAAGATCTCAAACAAATTTTGTAAAAATTTGTTTCATTTTATTTTATAATAAAATAAGATTATTGATAATACCTTGTTGTAAAACGGCCGATGGTGAAGGCGACCATTTTGCGGCGCGTGCGCTGGTTTTTTGAACTCGCTCTCGCGACGTGTACCTGATGACAATACAATACCATTATTAATCTAATTGGTATTAAAAAAATCAAACTTATTAGATATAAAGTGTATATTTATAAAAATAAAGTCTGTAAAAAATCTGTAATAGAAATTATTGTCTCGCAAAATAACATTTTGAAGAAATATGACATTTAAGAAACTAAAATAAGTTGATGTTTGACTTTTTATATTCTAAAGGATTTCTATTAACCATAAAGTAAAATTAAAGTCTATTTGTACAATATAATATATAAGAGAAAAAAAAAGGTGAGTCCACCAAAATTTTGCATTCATTACAAAAAATATTGAGAAAATGGAAACATAAGAATCATTTAATTCTGACATATTCTATTTCATTGATAAACAATATAGCTATCTCAAATTACAGTTTTTCATTTCAATAACTAAAAATGTCATTGGCTTTTATATACCGTACGGTATACACGTAAAAAAATGTTCAATAACCGTCATTTTTAGTCAACATTTTTGCTGTTATACAAACATCAATTAATCGTACGGTTATTCGACTTTTATATCCGCATGTAAGATTTGAGTCGCAAAAGTCAAAATATAAGCAATTATTTGGCGAATAAGCGTCGCGGCGGGCGCGTAGAAATTTTATGGATTAATAAAAGTGCGGGATCACCACCAAGACGGCGGGGTGAGGACGAAGTGGTGAAATCATAAGGCACTTTAACTCCCGTACAACTAGAAAGGGGGCGCCACCCGCCTCCCCCGGGGCCCGTGAGGGGAATCTCGGCTAGGTGTTTAGCTGGTTTATGGAGATTGCGATCAGGACAAAGGAGTCCAAGTTACGACGCCTAGATTGCGCGCTGATCCATATAGTCCCCTTTAAATAGATACCTACGACATTTTTCTTTTGGAAAATTATTTATTGTGCCATCTATCTGGCGGCAAGTGATATACAGGGTTTCCGATAGTTCGTGCACGGAAAAATATATTCTATGGTTTACTTTTTTCTTTTCTAAGTTATTATCAAGTAAACTAGGATAAATTAAGAGACGAATAGAAGAGGTAAGTCATAATAAAAAAATGGAAAAGAAAAAAAAATATAAAAACTATAACTGAGCCACTTAATAACAATATTCTCCTTTTATGGGGGAGTCGTTTATATCCCGGGGACGATAATATGGGTTATGACGATGAAGAATATGTAACAATGTCACAAAAATCCAATACTTATTTGCATAATAAAATCCATCCACCTGATAAGCGATTGGTAAACCATTACCGCAGTTCATAAACGGTTGCAACACTGTGATCTCTATATGACATTAATAATATTGTTTGTTATTTTAAATTGGTATTCTACCCTGCAGCAACAGCGTTTCTCTTAAAACATCACTGAGCTTTAACTACTATTGCCAACCTGCTTGCCAAACGTAGCAACTACTAACAAAACCCCCATTTGGGAAAGATATATTTTAGCAGTAGACAATTAATGGCTATAATGGTATGGTATTCCACCCTCCAAATAATATTTAATAATTATAAAGACACTTATGCCTATTCTTCCATAATTTGTTACAATAAATACCTGACCGGATTTGTATTTCAAGACAACATATTTTTGCTTGCCCTTATCCCAATTATTTAAGGGTAGACGTAATATGATTTTATTCATGTTACACAAAAGTTTTAGCTTTTGGTTTTACGATCGGCCGCCTGCCTCACGTCAATACTTCTTGGAAATGCATTTGTTGGTGGAATCCACCACCTGCGGCATGGAGGTAAAAAAGAGAGGCACGTTGAAGTAAATAAAGTGGATAAAAAAGAGACAAATCTCTTTCTTCATCTTCCTCTTTTATTCAATATGTGTATGTTTATTTGTTTATATGTGTGTGCATATTTTTTTATATATGTATGTATGTATATATTCGTATCTATATAATATTGTGCCACCTACTCTTTGTCTTTTTTGTCAATGTCCTCTACCCAATGTTTGTCGGGTAGAGATCGCTTAGCGAAAAGGCAGCCTTTTTTGTATAACTACTTCAAATTCAAATAAACTGGATTTATTAGTTTTATAAATGATGCAATTAAGTGTAAATAAATAAATGAGGTTGCGGAGGGAATGCTGGTCGGAAACTGCAGCGGCTCGAAAGGTCATTCCTGTATGCGATCGTATGCGTAGAACAGGACATATCACTAAAGGAGAACATCAATGACTTCATCTTTCAAGACACTATTTTTAAACCTCCAAACATGCTTTCAAACGGTTTTAAAGTTCCACCAAATACCGAAGCGCTAACAATCACGTATAATTTAATTAATAAATATTGACTGACATACAATTTATTTTTTATTCATAATTTATCTTTTATTCATTGGATAAACATTGTAGGTATAACGTGTCGCGGCGGCGTGGAACGGTGCGATCTCACGCTGCGTTCTCAAGTAACCATATAGAGAAAAACCATTATCTATATTAGATTTGTACCGACAGTCAGACATATACTTTCAATTACCGACGCTCACGTACATGCAAACTCATTCCGCGAGCGGCAACATGTGATTGGACAATTTGGCTCGTCTATTACGCGTCTTGTTGCAACCGCTAATGCGATTTACTGACATAATCCTATCACGTGGTTGTATATCCACAGATTGGAGATTTTTAGGGTCCCGTACTCGGGAGGTGAAATTAAAACCCTTACAGGATCATGCGGTGGTACCTTTCTCTTTGTTAATTATCCCTTTGATCGTGAGAGCTATCGTGCCCTTTACCCTTCACTCAAATCGGCAAATTTTTATTGTACTTTTAATTTTTTAATATTTATAATTACGACAAGTAATTTTAAAATACTGTAAATTTTTGTTCTATACAGTATTTCTATTTTATTGTTGTGTTAATTCAATAGACAGTTAAATAAATAAACAGCAAAACACACACAAATCCTTGGTCATATAAAAGGTTAACAACCCCCCTTATTTATAAAAACTAAAATCTTCCACAAATCTATTTTAATTATTACACTATTTGTCACTTTCTTTCTAATTGGAAATTTAACTAAATAGAAAGATACAAAACATAGGTTTATGAGAGATTTGACATTTTTGTGGATAAGGAAGTCAAGTGATAATACCTACATTCCTTTTTTTTTATTGTTAAAAGATCCTGCGAATGATCACGATCTCGCCTAATCGAAAGTGATGACGTTTACATACATTTCATACATGTATTAAACATTAGTGTCTTTTTAGAGTATTTATAGACACGACTAGAAGAAAAAGCACTAAATTAGTCATTACTATAGTTAAAACAATCCTTTTTTATTGATTTGCAACGGAACCCTCTACGCGCAAATTCTATTTGCACTTATCTACATTTTATTAGTGCTTCTAGGAACTTACATTATTTTTTCTAGTCACGAACAAGCATAAGTATGTGTACTACCCTAATAAAAAAGAACCTATTCTCCACTTTTAAGCATAATAGACAGATTAAGAGAAACAGATTAATTTCTCTATCATATTTTCACAACTAATAAGTAGATTTTTGTTCGCAAAAATAATATCCATTGTAATAGTAAAAAAAAAAAAAAAACATAAATAAAAAAGTAACAAAAAAATATTGACTTGAAAAACGACAAGATGTTTTGTAGAATACAGTAAATTTTAAATATTTGTATTTAGAACGTGGTATACGAGTATACCACGTATGTATATATCTACTAGTATTTTTTTTTGCGTAAACAAAAGAACTTTTGCAAAAAGGTAAAGAAAATGACAGCTTAAAATGAGGCCAACACAGAAATAAAACCCTAATTGCAAAAATTGGAAAACTCTTTACAGAACTCACTTAAAGAGACAAGGTTCTTCAATATTTGTTAAAAGCCCGGTTTACATAAACCATAATCCCAAATCACAATTCACAATAAACTGCCATCAGCCATGGCCTCTCGAATCGAACCGATCTTATTGGACTCAAAGGAAACGCCTCGATAATCTGTCAAAAATGAAAACGGTAGTCATCTGATGGATTCCTTTAATAAATCGGCAAATCTTTAAGTGCTTTGACAAGCACTTGAGACAAGATTTGTGCAAAGCGCAGATCACTTTACACGGACCATAACCGAACCACAATTCACAATAAACTGTCATCTGCCTGTCTTTCAAATCCTTTAAGAGTGTCCCCGCAAACCAAACTTATTGGATTCAAAGGAAACGCCCAATAATCTGTTAGCAACGAAAACGGTAGTCGTCCGATGAATTCATTTTCTCTCGGCTCTCGATCCTTTGAACACACTTTATCGGCACGATAATGAGCTAAATCGATAACGAGGTTAGACCTCGACTTCGTTAAAATTAATGAGACTATTAAAATGATTATGATGACTGGATTACATACGAAAGTTGTTTTACAGTTTTCAAATATTATAAACGTAAAAGTGAGTTTGTTTGTTTGTCACCTCTTGAGGCCTTTACAGCTCAAATAATCGTTATAAAATTGCAATAAATATACACACATATATACTATATGTGATCGAGAAAGAAATTGGTTACTTCTTATCCCGTTTAATGAAAGCATCTCAGACACGCGGACAGTGTCGTGGGTAAAATTCATGAATGGGCTGTTGTCGCCGCCGATTTACTGTGAAAATATGAATGTATAAAAGCTATGGCAGAACAGCAGAGGGGTGAGTTAACTGCCATAGTTCATTTTGTCTCGTGTCGTCAAAAAGAAATTGTTAACTTTAGAAGATTATAAACTTATTTAAGATGAGGTACTAATTCATTTCTAACTCCTAATATCCCATCATGACACTCACTTCACATTAAAAATTAAATTATTATGTGCAAGTGTTTTAAAGTCCTTTATATAGTCTCCCTGTACATATTTTTTATGCAACTTAGAATGGCAAACAAGCTGACGGTTTACTTTATGGAAAGTGGTAACCGTCGATTCTAGACATCAACAGTACGATGGCCATAACAGAATATACTGTGTCGTCTATAAAGCCCTTAATACCATTCC